ACTGTCTTATTGGGTTCCCATCCTGCTTAGGAGAGACGGTGAAAAAGGAGGGGGGGGGTGAGAGAAAACCGCCTCTGGGAAATACAGCAGAGGGGACATGAACGGAGCTGAGGAGCAGCACCCGGAGGAGGGGCCTGAGACCCCGGATCTGCAAACAATGCCACCAGGAGATGGTGAAGAGACAGTTTTCCAGAGCTCAAGCCAAGGAAGAACCTACAAGAGACGGCGCAAGTTGCAAACCCCCAAGAGAATCCCAGCAGAGAAGGAGCCGGACAGTCCAAGGGAGAGCGAAAAGGGCTCCAGGAAGCACGCGGTGTCCTCTTCAAAGGTGGGAGCCAAGGCCCGTGGGAAAGTGCCCAGCTGCTCGGCCTGTGAGCAGAGCTTGAAGGGGAAGATCTTCTTCCAAAGCCTGAGCAGGTTTCATGGTCAGAAGAAGTCGCATGAATGTTGGGAATGTGGGAAAACCTTCCTGCGGAAGAAGGATCTGGCCAGACATCAGGGAGTCCATACCGGAGACAGATTCTACAGCTGCCTGGACTGCAGGAGAAGCTTCAGCCAAATGGCAGGGCTTACGAGACACCAGAAGACGCACTCGGGGGATCGGCCCTTTCCCTGCATGGACTGCGGGAAAAGCTTCTGCCTGAGACAAGAGCTTATGAGCCACCAGAGAACCCACACAGGAGAGAGACCCTTCCTGTGCTCCCAGTGCGAGAAGGGATTTAGCCAGCTGGCGCATCTCGCCGCCCACCAGAGAACCCATGCGGCGGAGAGGCCCTACCCCTGCGGCACCTGTGAGAAACGCTTCAAGCAGAAAGCACCAGCGCACCCACACGGGAGAGCGACCCTACCCCTGCACTGAGTGCGGGAAATGCTTCAGCCACGTGTCGAACCTCAACGCCCACCGGAAGGTGCACACGGGCGCCAGACCCCACACCTGCAAGGAGTGTGGGAAAGGCTTCCGCAAGAGGCAGGATCTTCTGCGACACGGGAGGATCCACACGGGAGAAAGCCCCTTTGCCTGCAGCCACTGTGAGAAGAGCTTCCGGCAGAAGAAGAATTTGAACAGACATCGGAGCATCCACACGGGCGAGAGGCCCCACCTCTGTCTCGAATGTGGGAAAAGCTTCCGGCTCAAGCACGCGCTGGTGCGACACCAGGCAACCCACCCACGGCTCAGCCCCTAGAAACGGGACAGCCTCCAGCACCGCAGGGAGTCCTGGGAAGGCAGAGCCTGCATGGCCCGATCCTTTCTGCAGCCGACCGGGGAGCACTGACTGCATGAGGGCCTTTTGACAGTTTCTTTGTGTGTTAGAAGTTTATAGCTTGTAGTTCAGTACAGGTCGGTTACGGGGAATATCAGTCCAGGATGTACTGGGGCGTTTGAT